ATAATACTGAATTATACTGTTTTTTTTTCTTTGGTATTACATGGGTCAGTTACATGTTGGGCACTGTTATATCCTTATCATCTTGGACTTTCTTGTAACATGTAGTTTTATATATTTATTTGTTTGTTGTCATTTAGATGAGCAGCAAAGTATGAGCAAAGTGGAACCCGTACATTTTGTCTGTTTGTTTACAGTAAGACTGCAACTAATGATTATGTTTGTTAACAAACACCTGTTGACATGTCAGCATATAGTTAATCTGATTACCAGCATCTAAAACAGCTGAACCCACAGCAGCCGAGTGCTGAAATGCAGTTGCTGGGAGCTCCTGTATCTTTGCACTGACTGAGTGACCAGCAACAAGGAAGGGCTTTCTCAGCTCAAATAACGGGCAGTTAGACCAACATGTTATCACACTCACCGAGCACCTAATTACTTACCATTCACTACTGAATGCAGCAAGACAGCAATGAGAGCAAACTGTAATTCCCACACCAAACTGTCATTTTACACCAGACGATAATCAATGCACAGTATAAGCCGTAGTCAGAAGTCACGGTGGTGGTCCAGTAAGGCAAATGCCACCTCCAGCCAAACTGTTGCTTCGCTTCTTTCTGTAGTGTTGGTGCTGGACCAGGGGTTACTGTATATAGCCTGTTGTCCCACTGCTGAGCTTAGCTCTTAGTGGTGATGCCTCCTTGAAAAACAAAAATCTTTATTGAATTTTTATACATTTTAAAGTTACAAAAGCAAAGAAAGAGAGAGAAAAGAAAAACACATACAGTCCCACCAACATGTTTGTTGTGCCGCCTTCCTATTTGTCATCTTCATGTTTATGGTGGTTGGCAAAGTATGACTCTCTGGTACAGCGTGTCAGTGGAGTGTTTGCCTTTACATCGGAACCTTTGATATCACTTTATCGCTGGGAGACACACACGATGGTATCTCTCAGCCAGCATATCCAATTTGAACAATTTGAAAAAAGTAGGATTTAATGGCTGTTAACCAAGGTAAATGGGGGTTTGGGACATTATTTTGATGGCATCAAAGTGTAAGTTAATTTTTTTAAGGAAAAGAGCTTACTTTTTACATTTAAAAGTTATATGGTTTTGCTTGATGTGACTAATACAAATTAAACAAATTAAACAAATCGTATAATTAATCATTTCACTGCTAGATAATGCCAGCAGTATTGGGAATGTGGTGAATTAAAAAGTAACACACAGCATTCAACTGTTTACATGTCTATTGTTTCATAGTAAAACAATGTATATAGGGAACAATTGTATGAGTTTCTGGGCTTATTTGTTTACATTAGAATAAGTGAAAAATTGGATATTTCCTTATCACTCTGATAATTTTACTGTCTCTCATAAATTTTTTTGAGGACTGCAATGGCTGGACTGCAATTAAGGCTGTGCAGATTTTTCAGTTTTGTATTATTACAATATTTTTGGATTATCTACAGTATAACACTTAAGATACAGTATAAACACACAACTGTATAAGTACTACCTTTTAGCAGTTTAAACACAGATGGGTTGGATTAGGTTCAGACATCTTCAGATGGCGGAGGCAGGTTTGAAATGTTACACTCATATGTAGGGTGGCAATGTCTATCACCAGACCTAACTTAATCTGGATCTGACGGCCATTTAAAGTTAACAGTGAAAACCCCATTTAACACATATTCTTAGCCCTGATTTGACCTATAATGAAAACAGAACCCTGAAGTATACAGTAACTGCCTATCCTACCCTAAGAGATCATCTAGATCTGATTTGGATCAAGGGTTTTAGAACATATTTTGTGTTGTTCTGGATCTAATTTTTCTCAAGGGACCCATGTGTGTGAGTGAATGTTGTGCCTTGGTGGAGCTACATGTGCTCTCTGTCTCCCTCCATGTCTCTAGTACATGTACTGGACCATGAAGCAGCAGCTCGCCCATCACACAGTCAATGGCTGCAATATCAGACCAGGAGACCTGTTGGCGTCTGGTACTATCAGTGGACCTGTGAGTGTCTGCATGTACATTCTCAGTATTGCATACTGTAAAGACATTCAGGATGTATTCCCCTTTACTGGGGAATCGATGTATTAGGAAGTAGGAAGACGGTGCCAGTGTGCACGGCCTGCCGTCTACTGTTCCTAATCTTGTATGTTTTTGTGCTGTATTGTTCTTTCTTCATCCGGAATGGGGACTCTTTACTGTCATACGACCGCCTGGTGGCTATTATCCACGTCTATGTCGACGTGGGATAAATCGCTCTAATCTATGATCACTGATGCGTACGTCCAGGATGGCTGGCCGGCCAACTCCCATTAAATTTGGCCTGGTCAACGCTAGATCTTTTATTTTAAAGGACGTTTGTTATTTCTTGAGGATTGGACTTTCTTTGCGTGACTGAGACCTGGCTGGGCGTGGGTGAGTCTAGTGCTCTCCTTGAATTGCAGCTGCCTGCACGTCCTTCAATTCCCCGAGGCCGTGGGGCCGTGGAGGGGGAATAGCGACTGTGTTTAGATTGATTTTTAAATGTAAGCAGATTTTATCCTTACCCTCTTTTTCCAGCTTCAAGATGTCCTTATTCGAGCTGGGTCACTCTCTGGCCCACCTAAGTTTAATAAGGATTTCATATGCGATTTTTCTGATTTCCTGATTCATTTTATGCCTCGAATATGACCAGGTTTTGATTATTGGGGATTTTAATATACACGTTTGTTGCCCTGACAAACCTCTAGTTAAGGCCTTTCTAGATCTTATTGATTCTTTTAATCTCACACAATCTGTGGCTGGCCCTACCCATGAGCATGGGCACACTTTGGACCTTGACTTATCTTATGGTGTACCTGTTCGTGAGTTGGAAATCTGTGACACTGTGTTTTCTGATCATTAGTCCGTGTTATTTGCGATTGATCTTAATTGTTATCCTACTGCTCCTTGCAGGGCCGGCCCGTGGCATAGGCAGTATAGGCAAATGCTAAGGGCGCCGTACATCCAGGGGTCGCCAGAAATGGAGGAAGAAAAAAAGTGTAACTTCCACTATTCTTAAAACTAGACTTCAGAAAAGAATAAGCCCACCACATTAATTTAACTGCATAGCAGCAAAGCCTACTAAGTAGTAGTAGTAGTA